TTGTACCGATCACATTGGTTTTGTCCTTCCATTGCGGATCTGCAAATTTGGCCGAAACGAACTGCAACACAGAAATTCTGTGTATGCGGAACGGCAATTATGTTAGATGTTTAAGTCACAAATCTACTTTCTTTTTGCCTTCTAAACTTGTGTGGGTTTTTATAAAACCAAGTAGATTGGTTAAACCATGTTGCGAGAACTGAATTCCTTTGGTAGGTTTGTCGGTCTTTGACTGCTGAGCGCTTGTTGGCTCAGCTGGAAAAACGAATGACGAAATTCTTTCGGATGGATTACGATACCCTCGGCTGCAAACTTTTAAAGGGCTTTGTACCGAAATCTAGTGATGAGATCTGGGCGAATTTTTTGCAACTTGATTTGGATGTAAGAGACACACTAAGTAGGTGTGTTGCTAGTAGGTATGTTGCTGTGGAAAGATCAGGCTCGATCTGGTGTTGCAACCGTGCCTGCTTGTACTTTTACATCCGGCCGGTTGACGATCACAGTGATCGCCCTGACTGGTTGTCTTATTTCACTGCTTCGCGATATCTTCCCGAAACACCGGTCGGCCTAGCATTTGTGTTCTTTCCTAGCGCAATCGCTGTCTTGATGGCAGTGGTTTGCTTCAGGAGTGATTGGCTCTCTGCGACGGCGGCCCGCAATTGTTTTCATCATTCTCAGAGTGGATTGCTGCTATTTGTAAATCTCAGCAGCTGGAAGGGAGCGTGAAATGCGTCAGACCTACCTGTCTGCTTTATCACTCTTTCAGCTTTAGAACGACTGGAATCGAATTTTTTTTTGCTTTCCAAATGCACTTTGGAAGAATGCACTTCGCCGCTTCAAGTGATCTTACTGGTACTGAGCATTTTAAGGTTCGCATCAATTAGCCAAGCGATTTCAGCCATTTTGGCATTTTTGAAAGTTTTTTTTAAGAAATTAGAAAAAAGCGAAGGCATCCGTAGAAGGCGTTTCAATCGTCTGGGGGCACACGCTCCAGGAGCCCCGTGTCAAACTTCTTCGCAGGTCCAGTGAGGTGGCCATTCGTAGTTTCACGAATGAGGACGAACGAAAACCTGACTCTTGCTTGCACCGTAGCAGAAATTTGTGTGAACTGATGGAAGTCGTGGGATAATCAGATGTAGCAGTGACTTCTTAGTTCCCCGTAGTCGAATATGCAC